AAGGATTTCAAGAAGACTCAGTATGAAGCAGAGCTGGGATCACAAAGTAGAAAGAGAGATGAGAAAATACATGCTTTAGAATATGGGGTGGGGGACAGAGAGAGGCTAACAACGGTTGCCGGTGGGATTTTGTGGTTTAGGAAGTTGAAAGTGCTGAGAGGATACAATTTATAATCAGGGTCAAAGATGAAGAAACTTTTAAAAATTAAGTTTAAAAATTAAGTAAAAAAACCCTAAGAGCTGGTTTACTTCTCTTAAAGAATATTCATTTGTAAACGGAACTGTAAGGTGCATTGTTCGGGTTCAGGGCTAAGAGGGGTGGAGATAAACAAGGTCACATCTGTTCTGGCCCTAATCACACTTAGCCCACTTGTCTGAACACCTCTGAGAGGGCTCTGTAGGCAGTACTGATTTTGTGAGTTTGGAGGGAAATGTAAACCAGATTTCAGAGTCTGGGGCGAGAGCTTTCTATCCCTCCCCATGCCCTCTTAATTGTGTGTCTTTATACCCTGTCTGCTTTTATTCCAGAAGCAATGCAGAAGCTTAAACAACTTAAAAAAAATTCATCCTTTAACACTGCTGACGTCCAGTGACACCCAGACCTGTTCATCAACTGTATCCTGCATCTCGCACCCTTTTGGGGGCAATGCAGAATATTAAGCTACCTCACAATCTAAAGTTATAAGCCTGCTAATATCCCCAATTTACAATTAGGCATTTTTCAAGGTCATAACCATTTTGTTTCTGTTTGTAAATTAACAACAGCTCTAGAGCTGTCAGATAGCAATGAAACACACAGCGCCAATCACAGGTAGTATATACCAAGGAGAGCAGAACCCTGAGGAACAACAGGCTGACAGGATGCTAGCAACTTCTGGAGCCACTGTGGTAGGAGGCTCCTGAGGCCAGCCAAGCCGGGTTCAAAAGGAAACTCCTTTAGGAAGAAGCAGACAAACCATCTTTCAGACCAGATGCGGACTGCAAACTACACTCTGATACCAGCACCAGGGAACTGAGCCTCATGCTACTCAAAACAGCAGAAAAAGCAAAGCACTTTTCCTGTGCTGGTTAGCTCTGCTCTTGATTACACTTCTAAAGCACAATGAAATATCCACAGCATGCTAGATGTGTCACAGCAGGCCAGAGACAGGCAAGGTCAGAAAGATGTAGTCTGTCCTGCATGGCAAGCCACTATCTAGGCAAGTCTTAAGAGACTCCAGCAAAGAGTAATCTCAGTCTTAAGGGACATAGGGAAAGAATGAGTCTCAAACTCTTAAGGGACACTGGGAAAGAGTGAGTCTCAGTCTGATCTAGGAGTTTATCCTCCAGCACTCTAAAGGAAGATCCTAGTGGGGCCAACCCACTTGCCTGTAACAGCCTCAAGAAACGACAGCACGAACACACTGGGAAATGAACAGAAGCGAGAGCTTCAAACAGGGAGCCAACACTTGGAACAGAAATGGGCATTTTTACAGCTTTTATCCACAACTCAGGGCTGTGAGGTGGGGAGGCAATTCGAACTCTAGGAAAACTACACAAACAGTAATCCTTTGTTTTCAGATAGAGTTAAAGGAAGTCCACAGTTTGTTGCAAAATAAAGGGGGCATCACAGAAAGGAGAGAGCCAGAGAGGGAAACCCTGAGAGTTTGAATATACTCTCTGCCCAAATTTCTTCCTGTCTCTGTGAGGCAGACTCAGCTAGGGATGAACACATGGAGGCTTCAGCATTTATAGCTTTCCAGTTCAGCCGAAGGTACTGTCTGATAAACATTTGAGTACGCTGTGTTGTGTTGCATGTTCTCAGGCCCCTCTCACACCTGCAGAAACCCTCTTAGGAACAGTGCCTTGGCTCTGTAGCACCTTGAAGACTCTCAGGTGCCCTTGAGCTGCTCTGAGTGCCTGAAGAGAGAGTCTGGCTTCAACTTCCACGAAATACTGAAACACGAGCCACAGAAAACCAGGCAGCTGTCCCCCAGAAGTCCTTTGTTGTCCAATGTCAGAATGAGGTCCTCTCATGCTGTCGTTAGAACCGGGCCTCTCTTCTTTGCTGTGTCTTTTACTCTCTGCATCCCCTAGTCTCAATGCCCCCCACCCCCGACCCCATGGAAAACAGGAGTCAAGCCTTGGACGGATATACATGAAGTATCTATTGGGATTTCATAATTCACTAAAAATACATTAAGTTGGGTGGTGCTAGAGGGTGAAACATCTTTAGCTGTTGCTCTCTGGCACCCCAGTCTCAACACTGAATTGTTTTCGTAGCTATAATGTCTAACTCTGAAAACAAACATCTCATGATGAGCACAGCAGTGGTGTCTGTAGGGCAGCTGTCTCCTCCTTGATCATGACTACCGTTTTCCTAACCTTACTAAGGAGGAAACAGGTTATTAGTCAGCCTTTCATACCCAGCTCCACAAAGAGAATCCAGGATCAGACAATGTCACCAAGGACAGTCCATCTTCCCACTGTCAGCCACGGGGCTCTTATCTCAAAATGAATATAGGATGTTAAAAGAAAAAAAGTAGGCCTGATCTGTTCTAAATCTTCAATTAACAAGCACTTCACAGAAGTGCTTTAAGTTCTAAGTGAATACATGTTTTTTTTTTTAAAGGATTAAAACGTGCTGAAATAAAACTCTTTACCCCACTCATTTACAAAATAATTGATAACGGTGTTCTCAATTAGCTTAGCTCCCAAATTTAAAATTTAAGTGATTGCAAATTCAGACTATAGCCTATAAGCAGACAATTCTAGCCAGTTCTAAATTAATATATTAAAATAAAGATAATTTTTAGAGAAAATGAGGGAGAGACTTGCTGGCAAGTATGAGATGAAGATACAGAGGTAAGATTTTTTTAAAGATGCAGGTCTCATGGAGCCCTTGGCTGACCTCAAACTTGCTATGTAGCTAAGAATGACCTTGAACTTCTGATTCTCTTGTCCTCATTTCCTGAGTACTGGGATTATTAATGTGCTCTACTACGTCTGATTTTATGTAGTACTGGCAATCAAACCTAGGGCTCTATACATATTAGATAAGCACTCTACCAACTGAGCTGCATCCCCAGCCTGAGAAATAGGTCATAATGCAGAAAAAAAGTGTGTTTCAGTTCTGGTTCACCTTTCAACAAGTTTAAGGAGGCCAGGTATAGTGACCATGCCTGGAGTCCCAGCACTTGGGAGACAGTAGCAGAGGAATCACAAGTTTGAAGCCAGTCTGGGTGACAGAGCAAGACCCTGCTTCAAAGTAGTAAGTTTTTGTTGGGGCATTTCTAAGTTATGACTTTACAGCTCATTTTAATAACAGGCTTATTGAGATTTATAGCCTTGCATATACTTGTCCCTCCACCTCAATTTGGATCTATATACCCACACCGAAGCAAAGCCAGTAAGATCATTTAGCTATTTTATAGTGACCTTTGTCCTACATTTTACGTGGTTTTTATTAAAACACAATGAACAAGGCTCCAAAGTCTTATATATGAACAGAAGTATTACTCTTCAGGGCTAACCACAGTTAGCAAACTCAAGCACACATTTATCTTCCAAAAAAAGTACACATACACATACATGTGTTTGGTCTATCTTTAAGAAAATCCAGACATTCACATGTATATATTAACATGTGCATATATATACATACATATATATGAAATAGTATGCATTTTGTTGGGGTTTTTTTAATTAGGTATTTTGGAAGTTTTCCATATAGCCACTTATAGATTGGCCTCATTTGTAAGGTATAGTAATCCAGCATAAGGCTGCTATGGTTTGGATGTGAAATGCAGCCCCCCGCCCCAAGCTTGTGTTTGAACACTGGGTCCAAAGATGGTAGTGGTAGTTATTCTGGGAGGTTATGGGGCCTGTTGGACATGGGGCCTAGGCTGACAAGTATAGAGCCAAGACTAAAGGTTGAGAGCCAGGCCCAATTCCTGCCTGAGAATTCTGCTTTTTGGTTGGCTGGTAAGATATGAACAAGCAGCCTGCCACTCCCACTACCATGAATATAGCCACACCTGGGCTGCCAGGAAACTGGTAATATGTTCCTTCCCCCGAGCTGCTTCTGTCAGGAATCTTGTCCCCCAAATGACTAGAGTAATTAACACAATGACTGTGCTATAATTTAATCAATTGCATTTGGTTCCAGAATTTTTAAAAAATTATTTATTGTATGTAAGTGCATTGCCTGCATGAGTGCACCCGTGTAGTGCAATGCCATGGAGATCAGAAGAGGGTCAGATTCCCCCGGAACTGGAGTTAAAGATGGTTCATAGCCATCATGTGGGTACTGGGAATTGAACCCAGATCCTCTGCAAGAGCAGTCAGTGCTTTTAACCCCTGAACCATCTCTCCATTCCCAAGGTTCCGGACTTTTAAATACGTTAGAGGTTTTGATCCCCTCAAATGTTACCCTTATATACCGGAGAAATGGATTGCTTTAATTTTTTCATGATTATCCACACTTTTACAATTTTAAGTGCTTTCCTCCACCAATGAGATTTTTTTAATCAAATACTGAATTCTAGACTTGCTGTTTATAGACATTATAAAAATCAAAGTCTTCCTTTTCTCCACGCCCCTGCCCAGGGTTCTTCATTCTAAAGCTTGGTAAAGGAAAAACTGTGTTGGAATCTGATAAGGCTTTTTTTTTTTTGTCTTTTTGAGACAGGGTCTCCCTGCAGCCCCAGCTGGCCTGGAATTCATTATGTAGGCAAGGCTGGCCTAGATCTGTCTGCCTCTGCCTCCCAAGTGCTGGGATTAAAGGCGTGTGCCACCATGCCCGGCTGAAAAATGGATTTTAAAAGAGGAATAATTTTAAGGAACTGCATGGACACAGGTGAACTGTGCACATCTCCTCAGCTACAACACTGCACAGCACGGAGCAGCCATCCCTCAGCACCACACGTGTCCACAGGACACTCATGGATCACAGTCCTGTAATAGCTGTTCTAACAGATGGGTCCATGCTAAAGTCTCAAGAAAACATACAGCTGCCCAGCTGCTGTGACCACAGCCACATTTATTCTACAGAATAAGCCTAAGGTACAAATAGTTTAGCAAAGATCAAATAGTAATAGTCTTTTTTAGAAAGAAAAAATATTTAGCAACCACTGTATGTACATCTCAAAAATTCTTGGGTTTTTTAATATTTTTATAAAATTACATACACAAAGGAAAAATTAATTTTTAAGAAGAATCATGACATTTTTCAAATAAAGCAAAGTCAGTAGTAGAAGAAGTCAGTATTAGGAAAGTCAGTTTCAGTTTTACTTGATACTTGGTTGTATCCATTCTCTGTGCAGGACCTTGCTCATTCAACTAGCAAAGGACAACTAAGAAAGATAGCTAAGTACCAAACAAAAAATACTGCCCAAATTCTGTGCCTTTCAAGTTTGAAATTGGCTACCGAAGATGCTAACTACAAGGTAAAGCTTACTTTATTCTCAAGGTAGAAAAAGGAAACATTTCTCAGTTCTCATGTTGTTGGCTGCTTGCACTAAAACCTAGTTCATTTGGAGTTAGACAAAGGGCCACTGGGAAGCTGATCTCCCACCATGCTTCAGTGCAATTAACACATTCTTTTGTAGGTAAGGATGTTGAAAAGAGAATAATCTTTCCAGCAGTTAATCAAAAGTGACATCATCTTATATTTTCCAACAAATGTCCTAACTAACCACTAAAAGTGCAATAACCCAACCATGATTTGCTCTGGTTCAGTCTTTATTCACATGACCCACCTTTCTCCTGGACAGGCAGTATTGGTAACAATCTTATCTGCTTTCTGTAGCCCAAGCTTTCTTAGCCAGTTGCTACATGGGGCCTTTTCACAGTCTCAAAGTTTCCCTCATTTTAAAACTGTGAGAAAACAATAAACTCCATAGTGGCTACTGTCAAACAGTTGACTCAACATTATAAAATTTTTATAATATAACTTCAAGTATGTAAATTACTTAAAACAATATTCAATTAAAAAATAAACGTGCTAGCTCATTTCCAGTGCCATGAGATATAACAGCACCACCCATTTTTAAATTTTAGTGGTAAAAATGTAATCCATTTTTAGCACCATGTGAGTTAGCCATTCATGAAAACGCAGTATGACTTGGCTTACTGGAAGGCAACAGTCTTAATATCCTGTTACGGAGGAAATCTGTTCCATTTGCTGCATCCCAGTTCTTGGAAAAGGATAGCATTAATGGGAAGGAAAGGGGACAGATTTTTGGTTAAGGCTTCTCAGTACTTGAATCACAAAAGTGTTCATAACATGTTTCCTTAGAAGCACAGAACTAAATCACACATAGATCATCTGTGTTGCTGCAGACTGTATGTCACGATGGAGCACATTCTAGATGTGAAATGGCTTTGCAGCCTTAAATATAAACATGAAAACCAGAAGAATTCATGCTAGTAATTGACTTCCATCCTTTTTAATCAAAGCCTATCTTTTTACATCATTCCAAAAATGAAGTGTTCTAAACCAACAAATTTTTATATAAAAATACATTGGATTTGAATTAGCCATATTAATTATTAGATATGGTAATATATGCAAAGAAAATAAAATGCACCTTCACAACATATAACACAACAGACCTGGAAACCATTTCTTTAAATTGGCAATATAGACTACAATATGAGAAGCACCCAACGAGCAAAGTTAGGTAAAAATGAAAAAAAAAGTCTCAGTTAAAAAATTACAATTTTTTGGTACACCAAAGGGACAATAACCTTTTATTTAAGGCTATTAAATTGGAAGACTCTTGTTTATTTCGATTTTGTGTAGGAGAAAGGAAAGCCATTCTTCTAGAAGGCACTAACTGGTTTAAATGTGCAAGTGACTTCGTAAGAAAACTGTGCAGAGTCCAGTCCAGGAGATGCCTGGTTCTTGGGTCATATTCCTTGCTCTCTGTTGTGACTGTGGAACACTGCTGAAGAATGGTATCAGTCATCAGGTGTTCCTGCAACAGCTTTGGTATGCTCAGTCCACTGTGTGGCAGATCTCCTTGACTTTCTGATTGAACTCTTCTGGTTGATCTGCATATACATAATGCCCTGCCCCAAGGATAGCCTGGGAAAGCAAAAGCCACGGTGGTCAGTGAGTGAAAACATTACTAAAACAGCAGTAGCTAAGCAACAATGTTCACAATCAAGAGCCACAGCACTCTTTAAAAAGATAAAATAAGCAAGACTCATTTGTAGTGACCACTGAGGATTTCTAGCAAAAAGACTTGAGAATAAACAGGAAAAATCTACTGAATTTTTTTTTGGGGGGTCTCCCTGGAGCCCCAGCTGGCCCTCACTATATAGACCAGGCTGGCCCTGATCTCACAGAGCTCTACCTGCCTCTGCTTGGGGTTACAGGAGTGTGCTACCACACCTGGGTTACTAAATCTTAAAAAATCCTATTTTGTAAGAGGCAACACAAATGTACTTCAAACTAATGGGTTAATACAGGAGCCAATAAAAAAACAGAATGGAGTGTGTGCCTGCCCTAGGAGGTGGGGATGAAGCCTAGCTAAGACAGGACTGGTCTTTCAATCGCTCCAGAGACTGGGAAGGGCCTGCAGAATGATGACTTACTACAGGAACATGAAGGCTTTCACAGCTCAAACCCTGCCTACATCAGGTGACACTGGGTTTCTGACAGAGGCTATGCATAGAGCCCAGATATGAAATCATAAGCATCACTAGAAACTCAAGGGAGGTGATGCAACAGACTTCATCTACAAATGAAGACCAGAACCAGCTGCACACTTACTATTGTCTTCACATAAGAATGTGGTCGCAATGACTGGATGCTGGTACCAGAATTGCCATCTATGCAGGACCGGGCACCAAAGATCACTGAAACCGGAATGTCAGGATGCAAGCCACCAATCCGCTGCAGCATTGGCCGTTTTGCCCATCCATATGGAATCGTCATGTTCTTGAATGCTGTCTCACCACTTTAGAGGGAAGGAGAAAAGCTACTGCATGACTTTGGGAATGAGTCCTCACTGCACTCTCACTTCTGTTAAAACACATCCATATTTAGCTTCCCCAGCATTGAAGAAAAATCTCAGTTTATATAGAAAACAATTTACTAGACAGTATAAGGGAGAAATCTACACATTACTGCTATTAAACAAGGCTGCTGGATAAAAGGAGACTCAAAAGTTTTCTTCTAATCCACAATATGAAGCTGAAGCTGGGAGTGATGATGCTTTTGCAGAAGCCCCCAGAGACTGGTGAACAAGTCAGTGCAGATATAGATGGAACCCACCAGATCTGACAGGTCAATCACAAAGCCCCAGTCTCTGCAGGATCATAACCTTTAGCTCCTCCACTCTTGGCAGAGAACCTCTACAGACGTAGAGAACCTTTACAGAGCAGACTGACACTATAGCTCCACCTACCAATAGCTTCCATGGGCTCGATCTGTTTAATAAAGCAGATGAACTCATTTTCTGTCAAATGTGAAAGAGGGAAAAAAAAATCCAGAAGGAAGCTTTGTCTGCACCTAGTCTCTTGGTCTTGCTCCATCTCAGTCTCAGAATGGGGCAGCACTGCAGTGTTTTAAAGTGTACTCCAAACTGCCAAGTCAGGGCCTTAAAACAGGCTTAGGAGTCACTTTGTTTATTTTCTTGCTTCTTTGAGATAGGCTGGCCTCAAACTCCCTATGTAGCCAAGGGTGACCTTTTGTTGACCTCCCAAGTGCTGGGATTACAGGCCTGTGCCACCATGCCCAGTGGGAGCACATCTTTACCGAGCTCCCCTAATGATTCTGGTATACTACAAACCAAAAGAACTGCGGCTCCTATCTTTGTACTCCATTCTTGAAGCTCCTCCTAGAAATTCCAGGGCCTTATTCTTCCAGAGCCCCACTGCTTTCAGACTTTTTCTACTAGAACGTTGCAGTACCAGGTAGTATCATGCAGTACTAGTACCCAATATTCAAAACTTGTATTTTGAAAGAACTTACGTTCAGTGCTCCCCCTGGTTGCTCTGCACTTGCTTGTATGCTCTCCCCATCTCTAGTTCTACAGTTCTGGCAGATGGGCAGCCCACTGCCCCACCCAGCCCTCACTCAGTCCTCACCCATTGAAACTGTATTTCTCATACTGATGTAGAGATATTAAAAAATGCTCCATCAGAATCAGCCATGTCTTACACAGTGGATGCTCCAGGAACAGATAATTAAATTAAGGAGTAGACATTGGTCTTCTTAAATTTTTTTTAACTACCAATAAATACATATACAAAAAGAAGTTTTAAGGAAAATGCAGTAGATTTAGAATTATAAACCTTACCTTGGGGTCTGTACATTACAGTGGTAAATGTACTCTGTCACAGTGTCATCTTCAAACATTGAAGAGTACTTCCGTTTGAAATCAGGCCTTAAACGCTGCACTAGGCTTAAACCTATTTGACAGGAAACAAAAACACAGATCTTGTAAGTTATTATTAACTTACAGACTAAAAATTATTGTTAGTTTTAGTGTTTATTCACACAATAAGTGCTATGTATATACACACACACACACACACACACACACACACACACACACACACACATATACACACACTCAGTACTGGGAATTGAACTTAGGGCCTCACACATGTTAGGCAAGCACTTTAGCATTGAGCTATATTCCCAGCCCTTCAAATATGTATTTTAGGTGGAAAAAAGAATACAACCTGAAAGCTGTACTCAACTTCCCTGAGAACAGATTAAAATAAAAATTAAAGGGTGCCAGGTGTGGTGGCACAGACCTTTAATTCCAGCACTCAAGAGGCAGAGGCAGGTTATTGTGAGTTTGATGCTAGCCTGGTCTACACAGCGAGTTTGAGGCTAGCCAGAGATACACAGTGAGACTTTGTCTCAAAAAATTGAAAAAAAAAAAAAGAAAACCAACCAACCAACCAAACAACAAAAAGAACCCCAAACAATTTAAGGGTCTTCTACACTGACTTCCAAGTGTGCTTTAGAAATTCAAATATATGTAGATTAGTGTCCTAAGACTTGTTTTTGTAGAAGAATAAATTCTTTAAGTATAGTCAGTGAATAGGGCAGCCTATACATAAAATTAACTTATTAACTTATATTCCTTCTCCCTCTATAATTATACTACACTGGCAATGCGGGAAGCAAATACCATGGCTGTGGGCTGAGACATGGGAGCTGAGAGCCAAAGACTAAATAAAGACACCTCAAAATATGACCAACAATAAATGATCAGGAGTCCCCAAACTCTTTATGGAAGGATGACTCTGTCTTCCTATCACAATGACATTAAAGAGAAAAGAAAAAATCTGAGTGTGTTGTTTCCTGCCAGCTCCACTGTGAGTCAGTCAAGGTTCTGTGATCTGTCACTGTCTATCATTCATTACCCAGGCACTCTTAAAGGATCACCTGTGGTCAACGTGCCACACTTCTCTCCGTGTTCTAGGCTAGCAAACAGACCTCTCAAGAGACATTGGTGGCTCAGCTTTTTCCAGAATACTGGAGACTGCTTACCTTATTTATCTTCAGCATTTCTCACTTTCTCTGCTTTGCTAATTATTTGTCATGTTTACAGTATAAAGATTCCCTCTTAAGGAAAAGGCTTGGCCTGACACTTAAAGGAGGATCAGATTGGGGTCGGGGGGCTTGCTTTGAGATGGAGGGACAGACAGTTCAGAGGTTAAGTGTATGGGCTGCTCTTACAGAGGACCCAGGTTTGGTTCCCAGAACCCACAAAGCAGCTAACAGCCATCCATAACTCCAGTTTCAGAAGATCTGATGCACTTTTCTGGCCTCCCATGAGCATTGCATGACTTGGGTACACTTAGATACATACAAGCGAAACATTCATATATATATACACTAAAACATTTTAAAAAATATTTTATTATTTTTATTTTATGTGTATGAGTGTATTGCCTGCATGCGAGTACACCCGTGTTGTGCAATGCCGTAGAGGTCAGAAGGGGGCTTTGGATTCCCGTAGAACTGGAGTTAAGGACGGTTTGCAGCTGCCATGTGGGTGCTGGGAATCAAACCCGGGTCCTCTGCAAGAGCAGTCAGCACTCCCAACAGCTGAGCCATCTCTCCAGCCCCACTAAAACATTTTTTTTTAAAGGGGGACCCAAAAAGGTAAGGTCTCAGGTTTCTTATAACTTTGACTAACAATGGTGATTGGTAAACACAGACTATGGTAGGGATGCAAGAAGTATGCAGTAGATATCATATTTTGAATTTTGACATGTGGAACAAAACTCTTGTGATGCTGGGCAGTGACAGTGGTCCACAGCTCTTGAACAGCCATGTAAGCACAAGGGCTCTACAATGTACTATGCTACCGCTACTCCAGGACGCTCAGTAGGAACTGTCAGCTGTCGATGGCTGTTTCGGGATATGACCTTGTTCTAAGGGAAGGAGCCTGTATACTCCTCTTCTGCTCATCCACATTATATTTTCCTAGGAATAAACACTCACCAAAAGGTCCTGCAATCCTAAGGCCAGCCAAGGGGTTAAAGGGAGTCAGTGCTGCTCCCAGGGCTCTAATCCAAACTGGAATTGGTCTCTCTTGATCAGCAAGGTCTGGGCGCTCAGGAAAACCCCAAGGTTCCACTAAAATGAGATGACTAACCCTGTTGAGGAAAGAACAGATTTAAGTTTATTTGGTAAGTTTACCCTAAAACTATAAAGAACTAACAACGAACTAAAGGTAGAATGAACCATCTTCGAAAATGTCCATGTTTAAAGAGAAGACTGTTAATCAGGTTATGCCATGTATTTTCATGTGTCAACTCTTGAGACTTGGAAGGATTTGAGAGGTACATGGTATATTATTCATATAGAAATTTGGGTCACAAGATACACAAATGTAGAACTTATAACTATATTTTTCAAAAAGAAAAGAAAAAGGAGAGGGGAAGAGAGGAGGCAAGGGCCCTCTGGTAGGTAACATCAATCACTGACCACTCAGAAACATCTCACGGTTCTATGTGTCTCAAGGTTGAAAATGCAGAAATGATTAGAAATCAGAATCACACTTCATAAAGCAGCCTCAGATACCAACAACAATTCATCTCTCATACAAATCTATCACATTAAAATTTAAGAAGTTATAACTTAAAGAGGATTCAAAAGACCTTGAACAAACTTTTCCACAAACATGACAATAATGTAACCTGGGCCAGCCTAGTTTGATAAAAAGGAACATGTCCTTCTACCTGACCCATAACACCACTGGCCTTACATTCTGTTCCTGATCCACTCCCAAATTTCTTCTTACTAGTTTTAATTTTCTATCTTGTAAAACTTATCCTAATAAAGGAAAATCAGAAATGGAAATTACTACCATGTGACTTGTGGAATTATTTTATATATAACAAAGATTTTAATCAAAGCACAAAGGTCCCCTTGACAAGAGAATGTTCAACTGTAACCAAAACAGCCATCACAAGCTAGGCAAAGTTTCCCAAGAATGAGCTGACGATTCTAACATCCCTTTCTCAAGTTACAACTCAAACAAAAGAAATTGAAAACTGTCCCGATGGTATTACTCCTTATATAAAAATCTGTTTTATTGTTTTTGCCAGCACATGTAAGCATGAGTTTATAGTTTCTTACTCTGCTTGAATTTTTTTCTGATAGAAAGTGCTAGAACACAACCCCAGAGCACAGAGCTAAGGCCCATGGAGAATACTTAGCACATCTCTCATCAAAGATGGAAAGAAGCTGAGACACATGGTAGACCCACATCATGCAATGCTAATCAATGTAGAATAGGGCTAAGCCCCATTCAGTATGCTAACAGGTGCCAACAAGTCACTGGCAGGCTTTCCTAATCATATCCTAAGCAACAGAAAGGTGAAGTTTAGCTTACCACCCCAGAGCCAGTTCTAATACCATCCTCTCTATGTCACAGCACTGAGGAAATCCATTACATAAAACCATAAATTTGGGGCTATAGAGATGGCTCAGTGGTTAAGAACACTGGTAGTTCTTGCAGAAGACCTGGGATTGAATTCCAGCACCCACACAGCAGCTAACAACTGTCCATAACTCCAGTCCTAGGGGATCCAACAGCCTCTTCTGACCAATGTGGGCACTGCATGACATGGGTGCACTTACCTACATGCAGGCAATACACACATACACATAAAATAAAAATAATAAAAAAATTTTTAGAAAGTTAAAAAAAAAACCCATAAATTTGAGGGGAGGTACATGCCAGATGAGAGCTCTTTATACTTAACATGTTTTCAAGACTGAAAGTTTAATTATTTTCTAATAGTGTATGAGAAAGACCTTGGAAATAAATCTTTTGTAAGAACTCTCTTACCAGAGAGCAGGAGTGACACATGAGAGGTAGGAGTGGAATTAATGAAATAGCCACCTTACTGAAAGCACCAAAACTTCACAGTAGGAAACAGCTAGGAATACTCATTATTGACTTACCTCCTAAAGAAAGATATCAAATCTTTAAAAAAATTGTATTATTTTTATGTGTATGAGCATTTTACCTACATGTGTGTAAGTGTACCCATGTCGTGAAAAACCTGTAGAGATCAGAAGGCGCTGAATTCCCCAGAACTGGAGTTATGGATAGTTGTTAGTTGCCATGTGGGTGCTGGGAATCAAACCTGGTCCCTGTAAGAACAGCCAGTTCTCTTAAACACTGAGCCATCTTTCCAGCCCAGAAATTGAGTCTTTACTTAAATATGCTCCACTGCAGTTGAGGGAGGCAAATCTTATCCTGCTCTAAGGTGAGTGTTTTGTTTTTGCTTGCCTTGCTAAACATAATCTTCAAAATACCATCCCTATGGAAAGTATCAGCTTAATAAATTACTCAGGGCATATAACTAGGGTGAATAATGTCTTTTATTTGTTTCTGAAAGGTAGTAAGGCGCTCTGAGGACTGTTCAGTCCTGCCTTCAGAACCTAGCACGGCACAAAGCAGATGTTCGGCAAGTAATTCCATGCCTGCTTTTGGTCCTCCTCGGTAACAATACACAAATGTTCCAGGCATCATCTCAGAATAAGCACCAGAGTTGACTCAGCATGGATCACTGTGGTCCCCCAAATGGCACTGGGATATCACTGTTGGCTTGTTATTAACTTCACAAGTCACCACTCACCAATGGGTAATACAATCCAGAGGGTCAAAAGTCAGTATGTTTTTAAATAAAATGTTATAGTAAAGGAATGTTTGAAAACAACTTTTTTAAAGCCTTCGACACTTAAACTGTAGTTACAGATCATCTGTTTTAACTACATGGAGAAGATCTTACAAAGTAACATCCTTCTTTTGCACTCTAAGTCTTCTGAATACTGCAGATCATGAAAAGCACAGAGGATGGTGTTACCATGCTAAGTATCCAGTGAAGGTGAATTAGCACAACAGAGCTCATTCCACAGAGGGCACACTGTGTTTGTTTTTGAGACAGGGTCTCACTATGTAGTCTGGAATTTAGGTGATCCTCCTGCCTCTCGGCCTCCTCAGTGCTAGAATTATAGGCATGAGCCACCATACCCACCCTGACAGAATTGCTAGTTCACATAGTATAAAGAATGGGTCCAAGAAGACAGCATACCTGACTCATTCTGTCAGACATCTTTCTCAAAAATTAGGGTGATTTAAACTACAGGAAAAACAAAACCAGCAGAGCCGGACTAAGAGGACAGCCCAACAGTTTTGAAACAAAAAGGCATTCTTCTCAAAGGTAGTCATTAGAGTCTGTCTTGAGTCTGAAGCTGATAAACAAGTTATCCCTTTAAGGGCAAAGCAATGGATAACATCTGCACCAACACATTAGGGTAAGATTTTGTTCAATCTAATGAGCAACTGACTATATAAAGTTGACTTTCCTAAGATTCAGTAAGCCACCACCTAGAATAACGCAACAAGAACAGTAAGTCCCAGAATTGAAATGTACCAGGTAATCTACAAGACCTTCTTATGGGACAAGGAAAGGAACAAGGAAGCCAATAAGGATTTTAGTCCTGCACAAAGGTGGTGCTCTCAAACTGAAGTTAGCCCCAGGCATTTCCTATTGGCCCCATACCACTGTGGAGCTGCGGAAGACCTGGAGAAGACCTAAGTACCTCCAGCTCCAGGTCAAGTGCAAAACAGCTTTTCTTCTCAAGAACAGTCAGAAAATGGTCCAGCATAGGTCTACACCACAGGAAGCGGTCAGGCAAGGGCAGTAGGAAGACAAGATAACATTATCTGAAAATCTGTTATCAGTGAAGACTGGTTGTAACCTACTCTATTATAATTTGGGATTGGATCTCTTTGCTAGTCACTTTCTATCTTTATTCTTTTTTTGAGACAGGATCTCACTATGTATGCCAGAGCAGCCTCCACCTCTTGATCTTCCTGCCTCTGTCTCCCAAGTGCTGGAACTGCATGTTTGTGCCACAATACATATCTCTTTTCAAGTTAAGTTTCTATCATGTCTTTTTCTTTAATCTGTAGCAAATATCCCTAACATAGGCATTTCTTGGCAAGGGAAAGAAAAATGAGTACATAGCTGAAAGGTGGCAGTGTCTGGGCTACTACCACTGGTTAGCTTTACTCTTTATTATGGAATAGGCCTTATTGGATGGTAGACTAATACTTCTTAGGCAGCAAGTGACCCTACTGTTTGTGACTGAGCATATTAATCTATTACTGAAACAACAGGTGGCATCTCCAATTATCACACTGTAATAAGAGCACTGAGTTCTGAACTGATGTTTTTGGGTGGCACATGCCCAACAGACCAACAAACAGAGGGCATGACAAAAGCATAGGGGCATTCCTTTAATTAGAGTATGATTAATACCATTTGTTGTAAAAATATGGATGTGGCTTAAAACGGTCACCAAAATTTATAGCATGAACAGAGATTTAGCTTGCCTCTTCAGAAATATTCCTTATAAAGAAAAGGAATTAAAATGATTCAAAACACAAAGTCACTAAACACTGCTTAAACAACCAATCTCCAGGAATCTAATATTACAGTGTTCATTCATCATCAATTATTTCCACCAATATGGAGGAAACATACAGATACTTCTTCATAAAGTGCCCCAATGCTTAATACAGTTTTTAATAAACTTGAAGAATGGGGCAGGGGAGGTTTCACACCACAAAGGCTATAAAGTGGCTTTGATGGACAGAGGCACTTTGTTGCTCATAAAAATGAGCCACTTATACTGACCCAATGAAACCAAAACTTAGCAGAAACCAATCAGTTTTAAGAATCTTTTTTAAAATATATATATTATTTTTATTTTTGTGTATGAGTGTATTGCCTGCATGTACATAAATGTACCCATGTTGTGCAATGTCCACAGAGGTCAGAGGAGAGTGTCGGATCCCCTGGAACTGGAGTTACAGATGGTTGCTAGCTGCCAGTGAGTGCTGGGAATTGAATCCAGGTCCTCTGCAAGAGCCATCTCTCTAGCCCCAAGAATCCTATTTAAGCAGGCACATCAAACTAGGCATTTTCACTCTTTTCTAACTGTCCTATAAAAATAAAGGAAGACTGGGGACTACCCATAAAAGACAAGGGTGGAAACAGGCAGGATTGGGTCACTCAGCCCCATGAAAGAAGTGCTACTTTTCACAGTTAGAAAATGCAAAGAACAGAAATAAATTAAAGAGCTGCCTTTTACTTAATTTTCTAAAACAAAAAAAAACAAAACAAAAAAACCCTACATTTGTCAGACCTAAAAAGGTAAAGAAAGAAAGAATGTGTGTGTGAGAAAGGAAGAGAATCCCCACCTCTATGCTATCCAGGTCCCCTTTTCCCTCCCTCCACCCCATCCTGGCCCCTCATCTTTCTGATTCCTGTCCCCATACCTCATCTTTCTGAATCTCACAGGATAAGAATAAAAAGGCTATTCATATCAAGAGGTATTGAGAGTAGTCAGCTGCCTTCTTGCTTACTTGGTACTGACTCCTGACTGTACCAGAGAAGCTGTGGTGGGCCACAGACAAGTTTTTCTAGCTCAGGTCAGACATTCCAGGTGGCACAGGAAATCACACAGCTAGAAACCCCACTCATTACAGGACTCCCCACAACAGCTACATTTGTAGTTGCCATGATCAAAGTATCTAGAAATCCACAGAATGCCATTAGTTTGGAATTAACCCATGTAGTTGTAATTCTATGTAGTTAAAAATATCAGCTTTTAAAAAAGAGAAAATTATAATAAAATAATAGAATATAGCTTGACTATTCAAAGTGGTAGAGTTTAATCTTTTTGTAGTAACCACAGGGATTTAGACATGCTCATTATTCCACACATTCTCATGTCTACCTATGACCACTGCTTAATGGTTCTTGGTCATGACACAGGGTTTTAGCTTTATTTCCAGCATTAGGCAAACATTTAAAACTCAATTTCTAAAATGTAGTCAGTTCAAAAGAGGATTGCTGGCTCTGCTTAGATGCTTGTTGTTATTATCTCTTACAGATGGTTTTAAAGCATTCACCACATTCTATTTCTTTAGAGAATTTCACTACTGAAAATAAAAATTCCATCAACTGAGCTAATCAGTGGTCAGTTCTATAGCAGTAAACACCAAGTAGGGTGTTTATTTTCTCAAAACAGGGTCTTCACTTATGCAACCCTGGCTAGCCTGGAAATTGCTACGTAGATCAGGATGGCCTCAAATTCAGAGATTCGCCTGCGTCTGCCTCCTGAGTGTTGGGATAAAGGCATGTGCTACTATGCCAGGGCAATATAGGGCTTAAATGACACAGTCTGACAGCCTCATGCTACATCTCCAGAGATACCACCACATACACTTAATGCCAGTTGACAAAAAACAAAAGCCCCCTCCCCCCCCAAAAAAACCCAGGATCACTTGCCACAGACCGCTCTGTTGTCTTAGCTATGTCCTTCTCTTTTCCTCACAAATGTTGTTAAGGTTCTATCACTAAGTGTAGCCAAAACTAAAGAGTAGCCTTAAAATGCCAACTAAAAGAAGAAAATGTAGATTAAAAAAAAAAAATGAATAGGTCTTCTGGTTGACCCCCTCCAAGAAGATCAGCTAAGAAGTTTAAGTGTTGAATCTGTGGAGAAAAATAGATTTGCATAAGAAACCGCCTCCACAGAACTGCAGCATCACACTCCAATGCTGTGCAGCGCACATCTGCAGTTACACAGCATGGTGGCCTCACAGGTGGGTACAAGCACTCTGAAACAGCATTCCATGTTTTACCCACAGTCCTCTATGTCAAAGACCTCAGTAATTCTGGATTTAAAAACTAGTTCAATGGAAAAATACACAGGCAACACAAAGAGCTGGCATTCATTCTTTTCTTTACAATGGAGGCTCAAAAAAGCTAAGTTTTTCTTTTATTTTCTTTGCACTCAAATATGACTTCCTGTCAGAGCAGCAGCATGAATAATAGGAAAGAGCATAAAAGATAAACAGGAGAAAAGAGTCTAAAGCAATTCTCATTAATTCAAGGACTGACACGGTTCTGGCGGGGCATGGTGGGACAAGCCTGAAATCTCATCACTCAGGAACAGAGGCAGGAGGGAAGTTGCAAGTTTAAGGTCAGTGTAGTGTATACAGTGAGTTCCAGGATGGCTGGAGCTACACATCACAAAAAAAATCATTTAAAAAAAGTTCTGTAGTGAAAAAGATTAAGACGTGATATAATAAAAAACCATGGAAGTTACATTATGAAGGAAACTAAACTTTAGAGCTTATATGATTTGCTTAGTCACAAGATCTAACCTATTTCCCATTATAACTTATTATAATTTAGCAAAAAGCCATGAAAATTCTGCTGAATCTATAAGTTTAATTGTAATCGTAAAACTAGTAATACTACGATAATTTTTACTGATAGCTTAAAAATTATACATTAGCTTTTATATAATTATGAATAACAAATGTAAAGTCCTCTATCAAGATTATCAACATGTAGCATGTGTTATAGGAAAGTCTGATTTCACTCTTAGCTAATGGACTGGCTACCAGTGTGGTTATTTGTCTATAGGGTCTTTTTAATTTGTCTATAGGGTCTTTTTAAGACAATGCCTATCCTGTAAAGCTCAGACATCAATAACCACCAAGAACGGGAACCAGACTAACACCTGGATGCTGGTGGTGACCCTCTCCTCTGTTGCTGACTTACCTTGACGGATACTTCAATGAGTAAGCAGCAGCCAAGAACCCGCCCAAGTTGTGCCCAAGCAAGATCATTTTGTCCAATCCTAGGGCACATCTCCACTCTTCGATGGATTCCACAAACTGATTCTCCACTTCTTCTGCATCGCTGTCAAACCTGGGTCTACTGCTTCGGCCAAAGCCCAACAGGTCAAAAGCATAGACAGGTCTATCAGTGGATAGATCTCCAAAATTCAGGGCCCAGAGTCCAAGACCTCCTCCAAAACCATGGAGTAGGACCAGTGGAGTCTTATTTGAGATACAGTGAGAGAACATCAGTGTCCATATTCTATTCCCATTAGATATTCGAACAGGTTCCTTTTTGTAAGTGCAGGGGACACCTGGTGAAAACACAGAAGAGACATTCTGCTTAGCGCCACTCTTCCGAGGGGAGCTCTCAGAGCAACTAAGACTTAATAACCTAGAAACTACATGATTTTCAATCACATTATTTTAGCTTTCATTATTATCAGCCCTAAGAATGGTACATATTTTATTGAAGCAAACAAATCTAAATGACCATGTTTTATATCTATGTGGGAAGACTTACCTTAGATAAGCCTCAAGTATCTGTGGTCAAAGTCTTTGGCAAGTCATATTACCTCCTGACTTCTTTCCACTCTATTATACTGTGGGTATTATATGCCTAGAACTGGAGAAGAACTTAGTGGTCACTGAACCCATCATTTTAAGGTCTTTAGCTTTGCAGACAATAACAAAAGTACACCATTGTGAATTTTCAGATCACTTGATAGGTTAGCACCGGAGACCAAAGTCAGACTTGAAAGAACTGTGGAAAACCACTATGAATCCAGGGAAATACTAATGGTATCCACATTAAACACCTAATTGAAACATTAAGTAATTTTAAAGCTTAGTAGAAAAGAAGTGATCAGAGGGCATGACAGGAACATCTCAGCTTGAAATAACCTCAGTTCAAGCAATTGCCCAGAAAATGACAATAATCACAGTTTTGAACATTAAAAATCCTAGTGTTCAAAATGCCATGAGAATAAACAATTTAATTCCCCAAAACTGACCAAAGACAAAACTAAACTGAAGTCTGTTTATATTAAATTATCAACTGAAAAGCTACACTTTCAGGAATATGCCTTAATAACCTGTGCATATTCATGTGCAACAGATGAAATATGGGACAGTCACATTTCTGCCCTTTAATCAAAGGATTAACCTTAGGTTTTGTATTCACACAGTGGCAGCAAAGAGAAAGCCAGAATTCATTCAGAGTTTTAACAGAGCCCATGCCCTCCATTAGGAAGAATGGCCCTTATTTACAAAAAGAGGTAATCTAGAATTAGCACCGAGCCAAATCTCTTCAGCATTTTGAACACAAGGCTGAGCATTCCCATAAAGATTATTCATGTCTAGTGGAGAGTTCATCCCACTGTTGAGTCACCTGCTTTCATGTCTGGTATCAGAGCAGGGCCAATTCTCCTGTCTCCTAGAACCTACAGTCAGAAACCAACACACACACTGGGCACTTTAAAAAAGACTCCTGACAAGCATTTTTTATTTTGGTAAACCACAAAGATAATTCTGCCAACTTTGTAGAGAAAAATTATTCAAGTATGCAGAGTGGAAATTAATTTTCATGTTAAAAAATCCACATAACAGGGCTGGAGAGATGGCTTAGTGGTTAAGAGCACTGACTGCTCTTGCAGAGGACCCTGGTTCTATTACCAGAACCCACATGGTGACTGCAAACTGTCCTTAACTCCAGTTCCAGGGGAATCTGAAGCCCTCTTCTGACCTCTGCAGCACCTCACAACACGGGTGGCACTCACATGCAGGCAATACACTCATACACATAAAATAATAAATAAAATATTTAAGAAAAAAAAATTATTTTACTTTTAAAAAAATCCACATAACAGGGCTAACTATTCACTCCTAAGGATTTGACCAGTTATGGTCACTTACTCTGGAATCATCAAATGTACAAATAAGAAAATTAATAATAAAGAGTACAAAAAAAGTGTGAACAAGTATCAGCAAAAACATCAAATAATCACATATACAAAGTCCCTTTTTAACCCATTCTATCAGCAGAACAAAACTGTACAATAAACACCAGAAGTGTGGCAAAATTTCAGTGCTTAACAACAAAAGGATCCCACACCAATACAAATGAAGAATTAAAAAGGATGGTACAGTCAGAAGGAACAAACATGGAAGCATCTACCCCCCTTCAAGTGACAGGTAAGAAATGGGAAGCTGGGCAAAGTGACTTGCCCAAGAGGATTTTACCTCATGGTAGATCTACCAGGTTACCTGGTTCCTGCCTAGAGCATGCTCACTATACAAGGCTCTGGAAAACCCAAAATCTGCTCACAAATCCATACTCTGGGATTATCTGGGGGGTTAAGATGTTTTGGGGAAGTTAAAACTGCTTTTATGGGGGCTGGAGAGATGGCTCAGCAGTTAAGAGCACTGACTGCTCTTGCAGAGGACCTAGGTTCGATTCCCAGCACCCACATGGCAGCTACGAACTGTCCTTAACTCCAGTTCCAGGGGAATCCGAAGCTCTCCTGACCTCCGTGGCATTGCACGACACAGGTGCACTCACATACAGGCAGGCAATACACTCGTACACATAAAATAATAAAAATAAAGTACTTTTTAAAAACTGCTTTTACACTGGTGGTAAAGTTTTATTTGCCTTTCTTACTCTTTTTCTTGAAGCAAGTCACAGAGCTTTCCAGAGGCCACATGACATGAGTACACAAAAGCAAATATGAGATCTAGCTCATTAGAGATTTGCAATTAGGAAAACAATGTTACTCCTCTCATTTTGTTTTATGGCAAACAGGCAATGTTTTATAAACATATGATTTTAAACTTTTAATGATGGATTACTATTATTTTCAAATACATTAATATATTAAACATTTTTAATTATTAAAGTTAATTTGAATAATAAATATTGATAACTATAACCCATGAACAATGCTCCTTGGGATCCTTACTAATTTAAGAGTTTAACAGGGATCCAAGACCAAAAAAGCTGATGATCACTGTCCCACCATACTGCACTACTTGCTGACATGGAAGAGTAAGAAAGTTCTTTTGTCAACGACTAACACACCAAGAAGCTTACTTTCAGTGTCAGGGCAATACAATATATCAATATATTAGACATTTTAGTAAATAGCTCAGGAAACTTACAAGAGGAAAACCTTACATTTTAACATTTTCTCTTCAGCTTCTTTAAGGTGTGATGTAGATGTAGGGCACCAGGTGGGAAGCCACCCCGTTAGCCATCCTGATCTAGAACACCAAAAACAAAATGCAAACAGATGAGGTCATGTTCTTCTCAATTTTCAATGCTATATCCTGAGAACCAAAGCACTGGAGGAAACCCCACTTCTGGTGTGTAGGCAAGCTGCACGTGGTACAGGTCACCCAGTAGGTGCAAAGCACTGGGGATAGGTGCCGCAACACAGATATTTAACTCCAGCCTGTGCATCTACAGGTAGGTAGCAAAATCCATCTTAGCTTCATGGACAGTCAGATTCCAAGTAATTATGTAGAGGCTAAAAATGGGTAAAATAAGAAAGAAAAAAGGCACTGCCCCCAATACAAGACAGTCTCTTTTTTTCCTTTTTCTTTTTTGTCCTTTCTATCTTTTATTCAGTTTCACCCAGTGGGAACATTTTTCAGAAGATAGTAAATTAATAAGATAATAATGATAAATCAAGGCAATGAGATAGTTACTAATAGGATATTGATGTTCCATCACAAGACTCCTTTCTACAACCCTTCCATAGCCATATCCACTATCCTCCTAACTCCACTCACTACTTAACTTCTGGCAAAAGAAGTCAGTAGTTATTAGTGCTCCATTTCTATAAATTCATAATTTCAGGTAGTTTACATAAATGGAGTCACTCACTATGTAACCTTTGAGATTGGCTTTTTTCATATATATATATGAATATTTTTACTGAGCTTTTGTAATTTCATACAACAGTTCTTAATCAAATTTAGACCTCCTCCCCAAATGCCTCCCCAATGCCCCCACAAGACAGTCTCTTATCAGGACAGAAGTACAAAAAAAGTTTACGACTCTGTATGAGTAAGTTCACCTCACCTGAATGGTAGCTCACAGCGAGCGGAAATCAGAGAATAGAACCTTTATTAAAAATCAGACTTTTAAAAAAAGCTTATTTCAGCGAATCTTTGTCAACAGCTCCTTTTAAATGCAAATAAACACCTTTTTAAAAAAGCTTCAAATATCATGAGAAAGCATAATACAAAATGCAAAGGGGTTGCTGGCCCATGTTCGATCTGCCTAGGGCAAGCTGGTTAACTGTTAATGGACAAACAAAACAGCTTTAGCTCCAGCAAACAGATGAAAAGAATGACATGGGCAACTGTCTGAACAGAGTAGGACAGACAGAACAGGGAGCAGGTCTGAGGCAACAGATGAGGAAAGAAAGGCTACAACTGACACTTGCAGGAGTCAACCAAGAAGTGGGCAAGCCTTCAAGTCTGCCTGGCAAAGACCAAACCTCAGTGCAATAATCTGCAGCAATGTAGGGCTTCAGCAGCCATCTGCAGTTGGCAAGTGCTCAGTACATAGTGGTAGCAGTGGGAAATTCCTGACAATGAATTTGAAAAGTAATCAGTTCCAGATGAGAGGCAAAGATAGACACAAAGAGATTTAGCTAAAGGATATTTACAAATGAAGGGGGCTACATTTGATCAATGGTTGGGTAGAAGGAAGGTGTAATAAAGATTCCCAGGTTTCCACTTCAGAGTGTCATTATGATGACACAGAACATACTAAGAATAGGGGCTGGGTACAGTTCTGTGGCAAATCATTTGTCTAGCATGCTGGAGGTCCTAGGTGTTGAGTCCCTGCATCTCAAATAGAATAAAGCAAGCAATGAGAAAAACAAAGACTAGACCTAAGTGGAGAGATGGGCTATGTTTGGGCAGGGCTGATGTAGTTCTTAGCCTTTCTAACTTCATAAGCTTGTCCTACATTTCCTTTTCCTATAAATGCATTATATACAACGGGTGCTCAGTAATTAATGTCTGCTGAATGATTAGGTTGCTTACAGTTCAGGGCACTCTAGCCTAAGTTAGACCTAGTTCACAGATGAGAACGCTAAAGTTAGTTCACTCAAGGGCAGAGGATACACAGCAAGTTAACAGAAGTATGTACTTTGAGTTCAATTTTTAATGACTCAAAAGCTCTTTTGTCCCCAGATTACCTTCCTTAAAACGCCAGAAACTTCCTGTGCTTACAGGAGACAGTTCACAGTCCTCCATCCTGCACAGAAGGTACTTCCCAATCTGTCCAATCTGCAACTAACCCAGTTTTTCCAAAACCTCATCACTCAAACTTCACACCACTGCATGCCTCTAATGCTTTGCCCACAGCTCTTCCCTAGGTCCTAACACCTCATGTTGTCAGAGACTATTCCCAACTCTGATGCCCAAGCAGAGGTGTGGGTTTTGCTACAGATACAGTTACTGCAGTCAGTGACTATTTGTTTACGTATTTACCTGGCTACAACATAGTGAACACACCAAAGTTAAATCCACCTCAAAAGCTGACTTCAAACACTTAGTGGCTGGTGGTGATATAAGCACTCAAAAACTGTGCCTGGAACTAAAGGCTACAGTCTTAATACTTCCCAGAAGTGTGATGAATGGCAGCTGGGCTCACTTTACAGGGAAGAGTGCTTAAAATACCACAGGCTCTGTAACAGAGGATGGCATATGGACAGGGCAAGTCCTGAACCCCTGTCCCCAGGGCCTGGTTCCTCCAAGGGGCAGGGTCCGCTGAGAACTGACTGCGGAGAGTTAGCCATGGAGGAAGGGGCTTCTGGACAGGAGCTACAACCAGAGGGCGGAGTCTGGGCACGCAAGAAGGGAGTGGCCCGGCATTGACCAACCTGGGGCAAGACTGCAGGCCCAGAAGGCTTGGGTGAAAGCTAGCAGTGATTATGGGCAGACCACAGGAGTGATCTGGAGTGGCCAGCTTGTGATCTGGAATGGCGGGCTCTGAGCAGCGGTGCAGAGCTGGGCACCAGGTGTTTGTTTCTTTGTGAGTCACTCTGCCCCCCACAGTATAAACTATAATAAATTCGCATAAAGATATGTGACATGGTTTGTCTAATAGCGCAAGAGACCCCAAGAGAACTCGGGCAACAACCCCCAAAACAAAAAATGAGTGGATGCTGACACAATGAGGAGAATCAAGGAAAGAGTCATCATGAGCAAAGGAATACAGCACGGTGACCGAGTATCTACAGTCCTTCTCATGTAAGCTATTCCTTTTATACCCACAAGTTAACTGCCTTTTTGTCTCAGTTTTTACACAAAATTTCCTAGTAGGTTCAATAGCACTGCATACGTGTGTGTGCATGTGCACAGACAAGATCAAAAACAAGACTGTCAGCAGATGCATTTGGTTAAGTTTGCATAGCCATGTACCTAGATATCCAATAACCTGCGTTAAACACCAGTTTCAGACTTGCACATTGACAAGATGAGATGGGAAGACCTCTGGGCAGCCATCACAACTGTTACACATAACCTATTATCAAAGTATAAATACAATAAAATGTTAACATCAGTCTACTTGTGAATATGCAAATCTATTTGTAAGCTATCTAGAAAAATAAGGCTTCAGCAACTTTTTAAACTTACAATATTTAATTGTAAAAAAAGTGGTTAGCATACTGAAATTTTTGCTTGTTTTTTAAACTATGATCTTTATTGAGCTTAAGTTCTCTTGTCCTTGACCAGACATCATGCCTCTATTTGATCATAACAATATGGCCTAGAACAGGAAGTCACTTGCAACTCAATCTCATCATTTTCTTAAGCAAAAACCCCTTAAATCATAGCCCAGTTCTTTGCCAGAGACAATCAGAGGTCAATACGAAAAAAAAAAAAAAAGTGAAATGAACTATAATCCATTATTGCTCTAAATGACATCACAGAGAAGCTGGGACAAAGAAAGCACAAATGCAATCTGTGCTTTCAGTTTCAGTCTTAAAAAAAAGATTACAACCAAAAAATAATTCAGACTGAAAACTTACTACACATAGGTATTAGAATTTTTTTAATTACAAAGTAGTTTGTAATACAGGCATATGTCTGCCTCCATTGATTTATACTTCACAAAACAAACTTTTCTTTCCCCTTTTTGAGATAGGGTGTCAGATAACCCATGCTAGTCTGGAACTTGCGGCATAGCTCAGAATGGCCTTGAATTTTTGATCCAATTGCTGGGAATTTTTGATCCAAGTGTTGGGATTGCAGGCATCAAGCCACCACATCCAGCTCACAAAACCAACTTTTAAAAAAATGTATTTATTACTCTTATTATTTTATGTGTTTTAGTGTATTGCCTCCATGTATGTAAGTGCACCCATGTCATGCAATGCCCAAGAGGCAGAAGAAGGTGCTGGATCCCCTGGGACTAGAGTTACAGATGGTTGTCAGCCACCATGTGGGTACTGGGAACTGGACCCAGGTCCTCTGCAAGAGCAGCCAGTGCTCTTAACCTCTGAGCCATCTCTCCAGGCCCCCACAAAACCAACTTTTAAAGGACAAGACTACCTGCCTATGGATTTTGCCCCCTAATAGCCAGTTCACTTCAGTGTTGGTAAACCAGATGCATCACATTAAAAATTAGGGCTCTTTAACCACAATGCAAGGCACCAATTCTCTTCATATTTTCACAGCAGCTTTTTCATCAAAGCAGGTGATTTTTTTTTTCCAAATCAGTTTTTCTATAGCATATTTGAGGTGAAAAAGAAACACACACATTTTCATTCTTAATAGAACTGTAAAAATAATACTTCCCCTTAAGCCCTAACGATGTTTCTGACCAGGTTTACTTTAATCAGATTACTGATGTTTTCACAAACTGTCATCTACTCCTGTCCCATAAGACCGAACGCTACCCACACAACAGCCTCCAAAGAACACTCCCAAAGAGTTTGAAAAGCAAAGTCTAAGCAGTCTGCTCTTTAGTGGACTGTTCTCTATTCAATGAGTCCTCAGACCTTACCTTGTAGCCTCTATTACTTTTCTATCTAAGCCTATCTCCTGCTCCAGGGTAGTTTACACCTTCACAGCAACCCTCTGCACCTTTGCACAGGTCTCCTAGGTCATTCAGTGTTGGTATTCCCTGCCTTAACGTGGAGATTGGAGCTAAGCCTGTCAGACTCTGAGTCATTCTTCTGAGGTCATAAGATTCAAGGTAAAAATTCACATGGCCCAGATGTAAAACAGTAAACTAG